AGAAAATCAAAACTTCTCGGAAATGCTGTTTATTTAATATCTATAAATCTAAAAATTTTCGAAGAGCCGCATAAACAAATGTGAGATCGGCCAAAACATGCAGGTGGAGTCATCTTAATTTGTTCCCCCAATAGTTTTAGAGCTTAGTCTCTACATGATTTTCTTAAAATACAGCTCATACTTGTCGGAATGAAAACAAAACGTTTTTTAATACTGACGTCTTTTGGTAAAGAGGCAATTATTAGACTATCGCGGAAAAGCAACTGGATCCCATAATATAGAAAGCAATGAATAGACGGACCAGCCATTGACGAATACAAAGTTCTTGGAACGCTTACAAGTTAAAGAGAACTATGTTAGTATTCTTGTGAGTGCATTCACCGGGTACTCACACCTGAGGACTTCTGACGAAATTCTGTACTTCTGTATACAATTTTCTGAGTATCTGGAATTCAGCTGATATGGACTTCATGAAGATACTAGTTTCAGCCTTACAGAAGTAGACATATATGGTTGAAAGAAAACAAAACAGTTAATTAAATCGAGGTACGACAAAAGATGTGACTTCTGCACTACCGTCTGATTGTTCCATGACTGGTCCACATCACTGAGACCCGAAATATAGTTATCTGTAGCACCGAAATGACTGAAACAAGTACATTTTCCAATTGCGGTCACCCCTCGATAGGGAATATATATATTTCTATATGGCGCCATATAGCACCAGATTCTGCCCAAGTAAACTCTTTGAGCTACCATGTTGTCTCCTGATCATAAATTTCCCAAACAAATCAATCATTTTGTGACAGATGGCAGAAAGTGCTGTGTTCTGTCATCAAATAAACAGTCAGCGCACTCGGGTCTTGGCTTTCATGTCAATGTTCATAACCAATACAGCCAAAAAGTGCTACTTTGAACTGAAAATCCAATAGCATAGTAATGCATTTTCTCAATGAACAAAAACTATCATACAAGACACTCAAACTTCCGTACCGTTAAATCGTGCACAAGCGTGGACGATATCAATATCTGATTAACTGGCACTAAGGAAGTTGAAGTTGATACCAGCACACTTAGGCCAATAAGCCCATGGTGATAACGCTGAGGCTCCTGCCTTCTCCTTCTCAGATGATCGATGATCGAACCATTTCGAGTGCTAGATTTCCAATATTCGCTGAGGCTATCTCAGGGACAAGGCTGGACAGTGGCAGAGGTAGTGCTCGATGGTCTCCTCCTCTTTTTCATCCTTGCAGCTGCGTCAGAAATCATTAGAATGATATCCCATTCTTTTCCCGTGAAGCCTCATTGAACAGTATCCAGTTTTTATGCCCATCGTTATGCTAATGGAGAACCGGTCTAGAAGGATAAGATGTTTTGATTTTTTCGCGTCCAACTTTGGCCATAATTGTCTGATCACGTTACACGTGATCTGGTTCAACCGTCTTGAGTCAGCTTCTCTGGTAAAACCCAGTTTAAGCATGCGCTTAAGGCAGCATCATGAGTATGGCTAAAAGGGTTCCTTCCCTCGCTAGTTCGTCCGCCATGCAGTTGTCTGTCCAGGTAACCAGACAACGGCAGTGCTATATTTAGTAAAGAGTTTGTTGAGAAAGTTTCTACAATTTATGGTCACTTTTGACGTGGTGCCATTACATTGGAGAGTTCTGATTGTGTCTTGACTGTCGTAGTATATTGTAACCGATTGTCCTGCTGCCATAGATTTATGCAATCAATCAGCGGCCTCCATAATTGCCTGGTTTGGTAGTTTTACGCTCATTTTCAAGGAAAGCATGAGAGAATAAATTCTGCAGCCCACTTTTCCATCAAGCTTTGAGCCATCTGTGAAGATGGCTAAGGCTCCCTGGTCAGGGGCTTTGGTAGTTTCCTACTCGCAACTGTTTGGGTTTCTGGTGGAGAAATGATTTGCGAAGCATATGCGGGAGGTGTAGTCTAGCTCCATTGGCACTTCTGCTTTTGAGGTGTCCTATACTGCAAATCTTCCAAGATTGAGCAGCATTCAGTCTGATTGCATTGTAGCCTGCTTGTAGTTTCCAGTATATGTTCGGAGGAAGGATATCGAGGAAGTTGATGGAAGTGCCCCTATTATCAGCAGTCGATCGTTGAACTCTCTCTAGTTTGCTACTGAAAATAATTTCATCAAGTGCCGGCAACCAAATGGCGACGCCGTAGAATAGGGTTGGTCTAACTACCGATGTATAATCCAATGATACCCAGTCTTGGACCCAATTTTTTCCTATCGCCGTTTTGCAGGCGTAAAGTTCAGTTATAGCTTTCTTTGACCTTTCTGCCGTGTCAAGATTATGCCGAAATATTTTACCTCGGTAGAGGAGTGAGCCCCACGCCCTTCAGTTTAGGTGGCTTAAAAGATGTCGGCTTAATAGAACCATTCCATTATCTGGGTTGACGTCCACACCACATTTTGACTTGTATAATTTCCTAATCAGCGTGTTCGCTACTAGATACCACAGCAGTGGCGAAAAAACTCCTCCTTGAGGGTTACCTCTTGTGATGTGTATGGCGCTGCCCATCTCCTGCTACTCAGAAAAGACCCTACAAGATTTACTATGGGCTAATGGTGACCCAATTCCTCAAGAGCCTCTATTACAAATGCAGGAAGAATATTGTTGACCGCCCCTTCAATGTCCAGGAATATTCCAAGAGAATAAAGAGACTGTAGCTACGCCAGCTTTGAGAGGGCTTATTAATGACCTAATTGAGAGGGCTTATTAATGACCTAATGAAAAAACATTTACAAGATCCGGAGGTTTATTTTATGTATATATAAGAGTAACAATATGTTAACTGAGAGAAGGCTCGAGAAGATTGATCCAAGTAGTGGAACCCCCTCCAAGTGACAATACGCTGGAGCCCCTCCTGCGAGAAGCTGAAGTGTATGAAGTGACAGCTACTTTTATTAATAGCTTGTGAATGTTTTATTGGCTTTCTTACAACTACTGATAAGTTTCTATATTACTATAAATTTCTTTTCGGCTAAAGGTTGTCGTGTAGCTTCCTAATATTGGAAATTTTCTCCCGTAGACAAATTTTTGCTTTAGAACAATGGCAAATAAGATAAGGCAACACTCCAAACTTATGCTCTGTCTAATAAAAATGTGTTATATATAATGTGTTATATATAAGATTTAAATATATATTTTTATTATGAAAAAAAAAAACTCTTTGCTGTTAAAAGCATAACGCTTTGTTGCGTTCTTAAAGATGCATATTTAGCACCATCCATTTCTAACAAACAAAAGACTTAAGAAACGAACTCGTCCGCTTAGTACTCTTTGTATGTGAGTTTTCCGCATTGTATTATATTCTTGCTGAATTAAGTAAATAAGGAAAAAGTATCAAATTGCAACATGAGAAAATGTTGAGTTGTCTTATAAGAAAATCTAAGACAATACAATATATTTGCATACGTGTGAAGCAAGTTTACTGCAAAAACTAAAATTATAGTTTACGCTGCACAAGGCTCGATTACTTTAAATCAATTAAACTACATTACGTCTAAAAATATAACAAAATACACAACAATAGATTTTTATACAGGTAATAAAAAATATTCAAAATCAAATATCAAAAATATTTATGATATAAAACATCAATGTGTCATTTGTTGGTTTTGACGATCCAAGCTAACTTGTTTTGCTATACATTTCTCCTTCAACTATTAAATGGCGTATATTTAATTTTTGAGTTATGAAAATGGAGAATATTGACGTTAAGCTATTTTCGGCTGAGTTCTTTTTCCAAATTGTAGTCGCATCTTGATGTTTTTCCAATAAATGGACGGACCAACAGTTTATACCAAGTCCCTCTTCGAATGACTGATAGTTTTTTTATGGGGAGTCTTTTTTCATGTAAAAAATATACTGGGAGGGCTTGACATTCCCTACCGAGAGGCGACCACAACAATAAAAAAATAATCATTTATTTAAATAAACTTTCTACAATTTTTGAATGTTGGTCGGACCAGGACTTGCACCATTTTCTTGCTTCACATATATGTAAATAATTGCCAAATTGTTATCGCTAAAGCGCCAATTACCGAACGAACTTTTCTTCCTTTTTGTGCTGCAGAAGGATCTACAGTTTATTTTAAGACGCTTCCAAATGCCAAATGGCTGTTGGATTTTTAGGAGGAAAAATTTATGTTTTTTTTTTAATTTGTTGTCTATAACTTTGGAAGCTGATCAAGCCAGGTTGTGAACTCATGATTAATCAAACAGCTATTGCGACCAAAAGTAATAATAGAACGATACATCCTTTAACAAACATTTTTGGGCACTTTCTCGTTTTTTTTTGCTCACAAATTTTTTGTACGATATTAGTGGCCACATATACATATAACCTTACAACTTTTAATGTTTATAAAAGCATTATTTTTCTTTAAAAAAAACTTGCTAGAAAATTTTTGGGTTACAGTATTTATGTTTTAATAATTTTTTACTCCTTTCAGAGGTGGAAACTACCTCATCATCAGGGCAGTTCTTATAATTAGATATAAGAAAAATATGTCACAATTTGTATTTCTTTTAATAAAGACCAACTTCTTATTTATTAACTAGTTCACAAATTCTCAAAAAAAAAATAATAATTTAAATAAAAAAAGAATAATAAAATATTCTTACGTATTTTGTACAGCGAGAGTAATACCAAAATTAAAAATTTCGATTTGGTATAAAACTTATTAAAAAAATGAACAAATTTAATGACTGGAAATTTCAAGAAATGCACAATGAACTTCTTTGTCGGCAAGACCAAATTGAATTGAACATTCGAAATATTGATGCATTTTCCCCAATAGCAAAATCCATTGGCTGCCCTTTGCTATTTTTTTAGGTTTTTTTCAGTTTTTTTTTTCGGGGCTCAGTTGTGTTATGATAAAAACGTCCTTTTAAATCCTAGTTAGTGAGCACCATGCACGTATTTCAAATATAATCATTTACACATATTAAAATTTCTTCAACACTCACTTTTAATCTTTATCTTTGAGGCAGGTATTTCGTAGTAATGTGTAGCAGATGTGTCCGAAACTGTTTTATTCTGATGGATCCATGTAAATTAAATGTAGATTTTTAGGTATTTTAAACACTTGAACACGTTATTAAACTACGCGCGACAATTTATAAAATGTATTTATTTTATTTAATAACATAAATTTAAAATTATTTTGACTAATTAGCTGAATATGGGTTTTATGTTTTTTTTTTTTTATTATGAAGCGCGAAGATATAATTATGCGAAAAGAGTAGACACTTCGTCTATCTTCCGAACCGTCTCCGTGCGCTGATCACTTAAGTTCAAATATTTGGTGCGAACGCCTCGAGTTGCGGCAAATAAATGAGATTTGCGTTGTAATTTGTATTTCTTAAAAGCAGAAATTCATGGTAAACACAACAAGCCATGCCATGCCAGCCGATTCAAGCAATAAGCCATGCAACAAAACGGTGAGCCGACAAAATCTTCACATCACATGCGGATCAGCTGTAAGCTGTAAGTCAGCAGCACTCCGCAGTAACAGGTGATTATCGCTCGCCCAGTGGTGTGAGGAGTGTAGTAGAGTAGAGCACACAGAAAAACGCTTCATATACTCAGTGATAGCGTTGGTGGCGGCTAAAGCTAATACAAATACACAGCAAGACATGCCAACTTGTGGCCGTGACAATGCCAAGAGCGTCAATAACAGCGCCGGTGTCATGAACGGTAGCAACAAGTTGGCAATTGATGTGCAGTAACAGTAGCCAGTGGCTGATACTTGTAGTATATCTACAAATATACATTTGTATCCATCTATGTATGTATGCTTGTGTATAACTGTCGTGTGCATTGCAACTTGATGCGTCTGGTGCATACGTGTAGCTGAGTGCTGCTCATTTTCGGTGGTCAACGCGTTAGACTATTTGAGATAAGAATGTAACTGATGGCGAATGTCGATTAATGGTAAATAGTGGAGAAAAAATTCAATATTTCTGACGCTGAGTTCTTTGAAGCATATAAATGTGAGAAGAGAAGGGGCAATATGAAGATTGAAATTAAAAATTGTTGCTACTAAAAATTAGGTTAGAAATCAATGAAAATTTGAAATTAATCTTTGACATAGACGCTTGCCGATAATTGCATTGTAAATTATTTGATGGTAAATGGGGTTCAATTAATTTAGTTCGTTTTCGTTTGAATACTATTTAAGTGATGGGGAGTTCACTTTGGCTTGGGATTTGTTTAAATTTAAGAATTAACGCTAAACCTGCGGTGATGGGTTAAATTATTCATTTTCCACTTTTTATCAGAATTTCGTTTAAATAATATTATCACATATATATATATATAATTGGCGCTTTGTAACCGCTGAAGCAAACATCGGAGAAGCTCCGCCTTCAATTTGTGGTATGCGTCTAGATGTTTTTCCACTGGGATATTGGTCAGACTTGGATTAGAACCCTGAACTTCCGAATGACAGTGTGCAATGCTAGCCACTCGGCTAACATGTCCGATTTTACTAAAATTTTATATGCCAAAAGAATATCTTCCTCCTTATTGGCGTTGACACCACTAACAAGTTTGTAGCCGAACAAATTATAGCGCACCATTCATCTCTTAATTTCGCTATTTGGTGCCAGTTGGAAATACAAAGTGAAGCCCAGACACTCTCCACTAGATCTCCACCTTGTGATCCCAACGGAGTGGAGTTCTTCCTGTTCCTCTGCTTCCACTAGAGGGTACTGCATCGAATACTTTCAAAGCTGGAGTACTTTCTTTCATTCGGACGACATGACCTAGCCATCGTGGCCGCTGTCTCTTCATTCGCTGAGCTATTTCATCATTATCATCATTATATAGCACATGCAGCTCATCGTCCCATCGTCTGTGGTATTCGCCGTTGCCAATGCGCAGAAGACCATAAATCGTTCGCAAAACTTTTCTCTAGAAGACTCCTAGAGCCGACTCATCAGATATTGATGTCGTACACACCTCTGCACCATATGGTAGGACGGATATGATCAGCGACTTGTAAAGTTTGGTTTTCGTTCGCCGAGAGAGGACTTTACTTTTCAATTGCCTACTCAGTCCAAAGTAGCAACTGCTGGCAAGCGTGATTTTGCGTTGGATTTCCAGGCTGACATTTTTGTTGGTGTTTCTTAGATAGACGAAGTTATCTCGACGACAAAGTTATGTCTGTCAACAGTAATATGGGAGCCGTGTCGCGAATTTTAAAATTATTAGAAAATCTTAATAAAAAGGACGAAGAATGATAAAGTATATAATTGGAGAACATTAAACATGAACGAGAAGAGAGCTGAGGAAAAACATACCGCCGAGTTGGCGGCCGCAGTAGCGAGTGGTTAGCATCGCGTAGTGCCATTCGGAAGGCTCGGGTTCGAATCCCCGTGCGACCAACATCTAAAAGTTATAGAAAATTAATTTAAATAAAAAAAATAGTTAAATTTACTGATTGCTCCTCGGCAGGGAATGTCAACCCCTCTGAGTGTATTTCTGACATGAAAAAAGAGTCCTCATAAAAGACCATCAACCGTTCGGAGGCAACTTAGTATAAACCGTAGGTTCCTCCATTTGTTGAGAAAACATCAAGACGCAAAACCACAAATTAGAGGAAGAGCTCGACGGAAAATCGCTTCAGCGGTTACAATTATTATTTTAACAGTTAATCAAGTTTTTATATCAAAAATTCTCCACGATGTGAAAGGTCAATTGTTGAAAATGTCGATAAAATAATGGAATACGTACAGTCTGACCATCATGCTAGCACTGTTTCGATTGTCTAGGAGCTAAACACTTGGAATTACTGGAATCAAAGACTGTATATACAAAGAAGCTCGATTTGATGGGTGTTACATGAGTTAACGAGAAAAAAAACTTATGGACCGAATTTCCAACTGCGAATTGCTGCTGAATCGTGACAAAATCGATTCATTTCTGATGCGAATGGTGACCGGTAATGAACTGTGAATTATCCTCCTTTTTTGGCAATAATGTAAAGCGAGTAACAGAAACTGCTTTTGAGCGGACTCAATTTTATCCGAATGTAATTTACAATTTGGGTGTGACACCACCGAACTGCACTCGAATATTTGGGCTCACCAATGACGTAAACAATATTTTCTAATATAAGCATTCCTAATGATCCATCCATTCGCCATTGCTTTAGAAAAGCAAGCTTTCAACATAGTGGTATTTATATGGAGATTAAAATTGAGTTTAGTACCAACAAAAGTTGTCATCTCTTTTTAACGACAAGTGTTCTCCTCCTTGTGGTATAACTAAAAACTCAGTATTCAATTGAAAAACAGTAGACGGAAGTCAGTGAAGGGGAAGTACACCAGATGAAACCAGTGCGATATCAATAAAAACTACTTGGTATTGAAGATTTACAGCATAAGAAATGTTTATTGGCGCGTATTTTATCCACACGCGCTCTCAATCAAATACGCCGTTTGGTCTTATTGGACCATTTCCGTATATATGCATTTTATTACACTCGCAACAAGTTGCGCACAGCTCTCCCATCTACTTGCTTTGTATGTATGCATGTTGTGTACTCTCATCTCCTCCCGCTGTGCGTTTAATACATAACCAAATCACTGTTAGGTGATCACAAAAAAAGCGACAATTTTACGCACCAACGCCTCGATAATGGATTTTTTTTGTGTTTTTTTTTTTGTGATATGCACAAGAAGTACCTGCGAAATGTCAATGCTCGGCGTTTGTATATCTCGTCACTTCCATGAAAAAAATTAGTGTTTGTGGAAGGAAATGGAGAGGCACACTTCCTGTTCATCATATGCTTGGCAAGCAAATGAATATTGTTTGCATATACATATATAAGTGGATATTAATATCTTTAAGAAATGCATGCGTTAGTATGTTAAGGTGATAGTATAGATGATAAATATTCATGACTCAGTTGGAAAATCCTATCATCGGCTAATGGTCCACCGGCGAGACTTCTCGCATACGCATTCATTCATTCGCCGTAGCAGCAGTAGTGAAATCTTAATTATTCTTATGTGTCATTCCAAGTGTGCAGCGGAGCGCCAAGTCATCGCATCCATAGTGGTTTTGGCTATGGATATGTATGGATGTGGGATATGTGGCACGTTGTTGCCAACTTTTGAGTTGGTAAATCTGTGTATGAGTATGTCGGTACACTGCAAACATTTGCCGACCATATGATCCATTTGAGTAATCCAATAGCGCCTCCTCTGTAGCGTACTATTGGACCAACTTACGTCTTACTACAAGCTTGTTGTTAGCCGATGATTGATCGTGCTTTAACGAGTACTAAACGAAGTTGGAAGTATGCAATAAGACTTATACTTGTATACAACAAAAATATAGAAACTGCATTTGAGATAGTTCCGTTTCGCTGGGGAAATATGCTGTTTCACAAAATACTTGTGGAAATCTAAGATAATATTTCCCAAAGTCGCAATAACCGAGTGATCTCCATTCCGTAATGCCATTCTGAAGGCCCGGGTTCGAGTAGAAAATTTTAGAAAAAATTTTTTATTTTTTATTTTGGTCGCCCCTCGGCAGGGATAAACATCAACTGCCGAAATTGTGGAAGGAGCTCGGCCGAAATTGGCTTCCCTAAAGCGGATTGTATTCAAAGCTAGTTTCTTCTAGGCACTCCATGGATTATCTGAACTTATACAGAGGTGGAGTAGGAAGTCCTAATGTTAATTGCACCATATTTTTTGCGTGGGTTGTGGTTACTTTTGGATTACTCTATTGTCCGCGTGGAGCATATATTTCAGGCGGGCGCGTAGTACTCGCGTTTTTCGCAGGGTATATGTAGAATACAATTGTGCACACGCATAGTCGGATTAGAGTGTCTTTTGGTTTCTTACACATTGCATATGGAGTTGCGCCACTCGTGCTGACAGCTTCTGCGGCTTCAACTGCCTGAAGTTATCAGGTATCAGATTTCATGCTGCAACGCTTGGACTGTTGCGTTGAAAAGTTGCAAATCTGCACTTGATGAGTTCGAATTTCCCACTTTTTGTTTGTCTGTCTGTGTGTGTGTGTGTGTATTTTTCTATTTGTGTGGCTTTTTTTATTTCTCAACGACAAGTGCATACACGTATGCATAGCCATAAGTATTTATGTTACTTATGTAAATGCATTTATTCGAATTTACTTCTGTGTATAATCAACAGACGAATATATAATATGAATACGAGTGTTTGCTAATTGGCGTTGGCTATAATACTACATACATATTTGTGACCTTAATATGATGCTTTTCTTGCTTAGATTGTGATCAAAATGGGGAGTGTTTAAAGTGGCTAAATATAACGCTTTACAAGTTTTCAGTTCTAAGTATAAACTCTGTGTAGTTAACGCAGTAGCCGAGTTAGTAGTAGTGCGTGCTTAAGGCCTAAGGTTCATGGAACTGAGTTCAAGGCTAGGTTTTGTTGCGAAGTTATCGTTGGTCCTGTTGTTCTACTCCACAGACGAAAGGCCGATGTTGCCGATTTTTTCTTCTTAGAAGTCACAGCAGTGACACCATAGGTTAGGACCACCACTCTTTCACACTATTACCTATATATTGTAAAAAACGGTTTAAAGAAGTAAGAAGGTTTTTATATTACAATTTTTGAATGCCTGAAGAATCTGGACCCCAGCATCTCCGCCAAGAATACATTGTTTAGTTCTGGTTGTTATTGTCTTACGGGTAGAACGCCATGCCCCTTTTGGCATCTAACTAATTAAACATTATTCCAAAATGTTGTAGTGTAAATAGAACATTCATTGTTACATAATCACCAAAGCACAAGAACTCACTTCTTCCTTCCTTATTTGCATTGTAGTTTTTATATTCAATAAAATTCACTCACTTAATGATTGTGCATAAAAGTAAATGAGATTTACGGTCTTGTGGTGATAAAGTTGTGTACATCCAAATGCTAGGGTGATCAAGCATTCGTTTACTTTCTATTTCGATATTATGTAATTTGTTTATAAAGGCGATGGTTAGAAGTAAAACGAAAAAAAATGAAATGAAATAAAATACAGCAAAATAAAATAAAATAAAATAAAATACGAATTAAAGAAAGTAAAATAAATAATAATGAATAAAAAAATAAAATACAACAAAACAAAATACAATAAAATACAACAAAACGAAATAGTATAATATAAAATAAAATAAAATAAAATGAAATAAAATAAAATAAAATAAAATAAAATAAAATAAAATAAAATAAAATAAAATAAAATAAAATAAAATAAAATAAAATAAAATAAAATAAAATAAAATAAAATAAAATAAAATAAAATAAAATAAAATAAAATAAAATAAAATAAAATAAAATAAAATAAAATAAAATAAAATAAAATAAAATAAAATAAAATAAAATAAAATAAAATAAAATAAAATAAAATAAAATAAAATAAAATAAAATAAAATAAAATAAAATAAAATAAAATAAAATAAAATAAAATAAAATAAAATAAAATAAAATAAAATAAAATAAAATAAAATAAAATAAAATAAAATAAAATAAAATAAAATAAAATAAAATAAAATAAAATAAAATAAAATAAAATAAAATAAAATAAAATAAAATAAAATAAAATAAAATAAAATAAAATAAAATAAAATAAAATAAAATAAAATAAAATAAAATAAAATAAAATAAAATAAAATAAAATAAAATAAAATAAAATAAAATAAAATAAAATAAAATAAAATAAAATAAAATAAAATAAAATAAAATAAAATAAAATAAAATAAAATAAAATAAAATAAAATAAAATAAAATAAAATAAAATAAAATAAAATAAAATAAAATAAAATAAAATAAAATAAAATAAAATAAAATAAAATAAAATAAAATAAAATAAAATAAAATAAAATAAAATAAAATAAAATAAAATAAAATAAAATAAAATAAAATAAAATAAAATAAAATAAAATAAAATAAAATAAAATAAAATAAAATAAAATAAAATAAAATAAAATAAAATAAAATAAAATAAAATAAAATAAAATAAAATAAAATAAAATAAAATAAAATAAAATAAAATAAAATAAAATAAAATAAAATAAAATAAAATAAAATAAAATAAAATAAAATAAAATAAAATAAAATAAAATAAAATAAANATACAAAAAAAAAAAATAAAATGAAAAAGAAATAAAATAAGCGAAATAAAAATAAAATAGAATAAAATTAAATGAAATAACACAAAATATTGTATAATAGAACAAAATTAAATATAATAAATCAAAAATAAGTTATAGAAATTGGATAAAAAAATTAATTTTGATTAGGTTACTTATTACTGATGTACACGGTAGGTAGTAGGTGATATTTATTTATATTTATGCAACTATGTATAAGAATATGAAAAGTGATGACATTTACACTGTTCCTTTGCGGCATTTTCGAGTGTAGCAGGTCATTTTTGAAGATATGTCTATGAAATTAACATTAACTCTGACTGTTAGAACTGATAATATTTTCCACCGCCGTATTTAAAGTACAACCACTTGCATAATTAAATAAAATTATGTTAAATAAATATAATATTTTCTTTTTTTTATGAAATGTACTTTTTTGTGATAAAATGGCATCGTTACAAAACGCATATTTTCGAAAATAAAATTATGGAAATATTCTGAATGGAAAATGAAGGAACTCAATTTGATAGCTATTCGATTTTTTTCGATGTTTGGCATTCTAGATAGATACATGGGATTGAAGAGGTAAGCGAGACGCGTGCGCAGACAAATTTAGAAAGGTGGCGAGATGCGTCAATATGAATAGCTTAATATAATAGCTGGCCAATAAGGGTAATGCTCAAGAATTCTACAAAAAGCTACGGCGACTTACAGAAGGGTTTCTGACCGGGGCAAACTCTTGTAAGGCACAAAGGACGATCTATTAGCTAATGCCTAGGCTATACTGAATTTATGAAAGGAACACTTCTCCAGCCTGGTGAATGGCAGTGAAAGTGAACACGTGGAGATGGCGAACTCAATTCCTCAATCGATGACGATGAGACAATTGTTTTATTGCCAAAATATGATGAAGGACGACTAGTAATCGGTATTCAAATACGGAGGTGAAGAACTACTGAAGTGCATGCATCCACTTCTTTGCAAAATATGGTCGGATGAAACCATGTCGGACGATTGGAACATAAGTGTGTTCTACTCAATCCACAAAAAGAGCGTTCTCCCAGTCTGTGCCAACTACCGTGGGATTAGCCTTCTTAAAGTCGCATATAAGGTACTATCAAGCGTACTGTGTGGAAGACTAAAACTCACCGTCAACAATCTGATTGGCCCTTATCAGTGTGGCTATAGACCTGATAAGTCAATCATTGACCAGATATTCAGCACGCGCCAAATCTTGGAAAATACCCTTGAAAAGAGGATCGACACACACCACATCTTCGCAGATTTTAAAGTCGCCTTCAACACAACGAATAAGAGCTGCCTCTACGCCGCTATGTCTGAATTCGGTATTCCCGCAAAACTTTTACGGTTATATATATTGCGTTCGTTGGAAAAACATCAAAACGCACATCATATTCTATTCTAAGCCGTCGCCGAACGGGAGATTGCCTTTTATGAGAAGCTTTTATTTCACGTCAGAAAAAGACTCGGAGGGCTAGTTATTATGCTTATAGCTAAAGAACATTACCACTGATCTCTATGTTTCACGCAAATTCGCATTGGTTTCCGTCCAATCAAGAAGACTATGAAATGGATTGGGTATCGACTTATTTGTAAAAATAAGTAAGCGCAATTAAAACCTTAAGCCAGGCCAGTTGGTATTATTCTTGCGCCACTGTAGAATAGTTTCGAATTATCCGAGTGCTAACTCAAAATTCACAAATCTTCTTGGTAGGTTTTTCGATCAATTGATTGCACTATTTTCACACCGTCCGCTTTTTCTTTATGTATTTTTAGATTTTGTATGCAAAGTGTGGAAATCGTACAGGTTCAAAAAATATTCTGATACATAAAATTTAGCTCGCATTGATAAAAGGCTCGGAAAATAATTTGTACTAATATCGACCACAATACCCGGGTACAGATATGGTTTATAGAACTTTTCTTACTCAAACGTTTTCTGCTCTTAAGAAACACCATAACCTTTTAATTTATTCCATAACTGTTACAGATACTGTTAGTTAAACACTTGAGCTGTCGGTTATCTTCGCAGATCCCAATTCATTTCCATTTCATTTAGTCACCAATCAGCGAGCGTTCACTACTGCACTTGTTGACTATCATTTGATGAGATTAACTGCAGCCAAGATAAAATAGATGGTACATACTTCCTCAATTACCCTGCATACAAACACATATGCATATGTACCTGTGCATACTCGTATAGCATTAATGGTAGGTAGCTAAGTGATAATGCTTTGTATGTCTAACTAAATGCGTTCAACACGATTTCAACATTCTGAAATAGCAACAAAACCTGAATATTTGCACTAACCATTAGAAGTATAAATAACTGTTACAATTTACTACGCAACCGTTAAGTTGCAAAACCGACCCCTACATACATATATACATACAAATGAACTCACTCTTTTAATAGCTTCATTAAAGCGGGATGAGAGGATCTTGAAAACGAAGAAACTTTTCTCTCAGGCAATGCTTAAGGCACTGATATATGTACATATGCAATTATTTTACATATTTAGTATAGCATTCAAATGACACTGACTTATTATAATAATAAATTAAATAATAAATCAAATACATTCAAACAATTTAATGTATGTACATATTTACACTTATGTGTTATTAAATGCATTTGTTATTTGGCAAGAGACACCGCCAATTAGAGTTAAAAACGCAAAACAATGTACATTAGCACTAATTGCTTGACGCCAAGAGCTGGCGGAACACCCAGCTGTTGCGGCTGTGACTGCTGTTGGTGTAATCAAGAGATTCCCGCGCCGCAGTGGGCGTCTCTAGATAGGCATTTGACGTGTGTGACAAGCGATCATGCACAAGATAAGCCCAAAGGAATACCCTGCAGGAAATGGTACCAGCTGTGAGCTACTGCCATTCGTGAAGCCAGAGTTCGGGTCCTGGTCCGACGAATTCCAATAATTTTAGAAAAAATAATTTTAAATAAAAAATTAAGGTCAATTTTCTAACTGCGATCGCCCCTCAGTATACTTCAGATAAAAATGAAAGCTCCTCATAATAATCCATTAGCCGTTCGGAGGCGGCTTAGAATAGTAGTAACGTAGGTCCCTTTATTAGACACACACCACAAAGTGAAGGAGAAGGAGCTAATTCGAAACTCGATGGTCTCGATCGCCGAGTGATTAGATGTCATAGATAGAGGTGGCACTGATATCCATTGTGTCTCCCTGTTTCTATTTGAAATCTGCTGTTGTTGTTGTTGTAACCGCAAAATTATTCCCAAAATACTCTTTGGGGAATATTGCGTGAGTGACAGTCCTTGGCCGGATAAAAATCTGGGTCGTTCCGGTATAAAGACCCGACTGTCGCGGGAACTATTGGATTTTAGTCGCCTCTTACGACAGACATGCCTTACCGCGGCTAAATTCTTGAACCCCTAACCCGCAGGGGCTATTTGAATCTGTTAGGTAATGATGGTTTATAAAAGGGATGTGGACTGAGGTTATGATGAGAAAATGACACGCCTTCGCAACTGGCTTCAAGAAGTTTCTTTTAAGTGTCTTCGATTAGTTTCGAACGTTTGTTTCTACACCCTTACAATCCCACCACACAGAAAGCATAATCATTTGCGGTTAGTAAATATAGGCTCTGGATATTGACTTCTGAGATCTATTTTGCTTGGTCGAGCTTCTTAAGTTAATGGATCAGTTGCGAAAACAGGGAAATATCAATTTTTTTTAATTTAAATATTTTAAATATTAATTTTCAATCGGTATTTTTCTGCACTAGTTCAGCTTTTCACTGCAGGGAACATATTCATGTAAGTTATATAATCACAGTTGGCGAATCTCGGTTCTCACACAACATTGTTGGGGATACTACGGCAAATCCATTGTGCTTGCGGCGGCTGGAGATTTCGTGTCATTCTTTGCGAACACCACCAATTTGCGTTATTAGGAGCAAATCTGTGGAAGATAAGTATTTTTTTCACGTACAATAATTGCGAAATTCTTTGCTAATTATCTGCAATTCCAACGATGTACGACTATGTGGACAAGTATAGAAAAGCGTGTGTATGTATGTATGACAGAAGGCGATACGAGTACTCTAATAAAATCGCGCGTACTTCTTTATTGCAGTGGTAAAACTCAAAAATGAATAAAAAGAAAATTAAAATTAAATTAAAATAAAAAAAAAACGAGATTCAGCTTGAGTACCTGCAGCTTGAGCTGATCAAGAATGCCGTCACTTAAGCTACAACTCAATGGTACTATACATATCGTACATATATACCATCTCTTATATGTACATATATTTTATAGTAAAGTCAGCTACATTAGCAACAGCATGTGGCAATAATTTAATTTTGTTGCTGGAAGTGCGGCGGCTAAGACTATCGCTCCGACTGTGACTTCGTGCCTACCAGCATTGGGTGTCTTTGGTGAATGTGGCCAACCGTATTGCAGACACACACAGTTCAATCACCCCCTCATGACGCTTTAATTAATATATAATATCCGACTTTGACAACATTAAACTAAATATATATGTATGTATGTATCTATTATGTTGAGTAAAATGTTTTAATTTCAGTGAAATGAAAAGCGCCACGAATTGTTTTTAAATAGTTACGGTGTTTAATTGTGTTCAGAAAATAAGCCTAACTCAAAGTACCGTTAAGCAAATTTGTTTTCATCACAACTTGAGATATTTGACCGACCTAGACTCGTATTTACTTCGCCTACCTAGAGCCTACTTTTAACTGTGCTTTTGGCCGAACTTCTGCTACCGATGATAACGGCAGCGATATCTCCCACACATCTCAGTGATCGAAGGAACTCGTTAAGAACAAAATTATGGCTGGCCACACTCCAGTAAAAATCAGCCGTTATTATGAATGTGCTTTTAATCATTAGCAATATGCGCTATTTCATCTGGAAAATCAACGGCCTTCGACATACTCTAGAGTTCTTTTATGAGCTACAGTGCTGCTTGCTTGAAAGGCTAACTGTGTTAAGCAGATGGTGCAAAATAATTTCAGCGAACTCTTTCTCTTCCAGTTGAGAACTACTTCCCTCGAATAGTACATGGATTGTATGTCGATTACTTTATGTAGTTTTACTAGTGATTTACTAGTAACAATAAGACTAGTCTTCACAAGGACTCAATGAAGCATTGAGTTTTTCAGGCTTGTTGCATGCTTACATAGTAGCTCATTTTTACATGGGAGGCTACCAAGTTCTGTGTACAAGCTTGCTAAGCCAAATGGTATATATTGAATACACAATAATGTAGTGATTCGCTTGCTGCAATATCAACGACCGCTCGCTATATAGACCGCTCACAGGTCCGCATCTCGTACCGGAGTTGACTACTCTTCCAGAAAGAGCGATATAGATAAGGACAACCTTGTTACTGTACCGCTTATCCAGAGGCAGGAATACACACAATATAAAAATAAACATCAAATTATGCAAGTCTCTCATCGTCCCCGTCCTACTACATGCTGCAGAAGCAGTGGCGATGTCGACATGCGATGAGTCGATTCTAGGAGTTTTCGAGAGGAATTTTTTTTCGAAAGGAACCTAACCTACGAAAAACCAACACAGAGCTGCCTTGGTATTGTTGACACGGTCTGAAAAGTTAAATGTTGATTAAAAAATATGAGAAAAAACAATTCTTACAGTTAACTCACTACCAAACAGCATATTTTTTGATCTAAGAAAATTGGAAAAATTCTTCAATTGAAATTCTTTTGCAACAGACACGACGTTGTACTCAATAAAAGAGACTACCATTCGTTCTTTCAAAAGTCACTCAAAGCTTTCTTAACTTCCACCTAGGGCTCTATTAAACCTTGAATATATTGGGTTGCCCAAAAAGTAGTTGCGGATTTTTCATATAGTCGGCGTTGACAAATTTTTTCAACGGCTTGTGACTCTGTAATTGCATTCTTTCTTCTGTCAGTTATTAGCTGTTACTTTTAGTTTGCTTTAGAAAAAAAGTGCGCGAAATTTTGTTTTCATTTGTTTGTTTGGCGTCAATTTTAATATGGAGCCCACAAAGGAGCATTTTCGTCATATTTTACTTTATTATTTCCGTAAAGGAAAAAACGCGGAGCAGGTTGCTAAAAAGTTACGAGATGTGTATGGTGATGAAGCCTTAAAAGGAAGACAGTGTCAAAATTGGTGTGTCAAACCACTTCAAAGGCTGATATCCACCAAAAGAAGGTTATGCTGTCTGTTCGGTGGGATTGGAAGGGTGTTGTATATATATTTTCCAAGGAACCAAACGATTAATTCGGATGTTTACTGTCAACAATTGGACAAATTGAATACAGCCATCAAGGAGAAGCGACCAGAATTGGTCAATCGTAAAGGTGCCATATTCCACCAGGACAACGCTAGTCCTAACACATCTTTAGTCACTCGCCAAAAACTGAGTGAGCTTGGCTGGAAACTTTTGATACATCCACCATATAGCCCTGACCTTTGCAGAACTCCTTAAATGGTAAAACTCGGCAATGATGAGGCTATAAAATCGCACTTGGTTCAGTTTTTTGCAGATAAAGGCCAGAAGTTCTATGAGCGTGGAATACTAAATTTGCCAGGAAGATGGCAAGAGGTTATCGAACAAAATGGCAATTATATATTTGATATTAAAAATGCATTTACTTTCTTTTAAAAAATACGCAATTACTTTTTGGGCAACCCAATATATTTTAATACACAAATAATTTCACGTATGTACTCGTACATGAAATAGTATATTAACTTTGGTTCGAAGTATATATCTAAGTACCATAAAGGAAGGAAAGATAGACTCATTAAAATGTATACCGATGGGGTCAGGATTATGAGTTGAGTTAAACGTTGAGTTGAACGGATCACAATAGCATAAACATATAATATAAATATGCGACCGATTGGAGATTTCGGATCATAAATTGGTCAAAAAAAGACATCTAAGAGCGTGAAATATGGTATTCTGCATACATAAATATGTATGATGAATTTACATTGGTGCTGAAACTCGGACTACTATTATATATAGCTCCCATACACCGATCTTCTCCGATATAAAAAAATGCCAAAAAAAAACACCTTCGAGTATGACATTAGGTACAATACATTGGTATCTATAAATGAACATTGTGATTGAAAGTAAAGGAAATCGGAGGACTATGTCAAATAGCTTCCATACTGTCGATTAGTTCAGATGTGAGGTTTTGGGTCAATAATCCATTTAGAAGCATATACAAACATGAGACTTGGTATTATAGACATATACAATTTGGCAGCAACATTAGCTGAGTGGTTAGCATTGCTTGCAGCCATTATGAAGGTCATGGTACCAATCCTGGTTCGATCAACATTCAAAAGTGAAGAAAAACAATTTTTCTAATTACGGCCACCCTTCGACAGGGAATGTCAAGCTTTTCGAATATGACTCTGACATGATGTAAAAGTTCCTCATAAAAATACAACGGCCGTTCGGAGGTGGCTTAGAAAAAAACTTTATGTTCCATCAGTCCCATCAAACATCACGATATACACTACAATTGGA